AAAAATACAAACAAACTAAAGAAATGGGAAGAACATTGATGTCAAACAAACGTGCATCCTCATTCATCCTGATTTTTTTTTGTGAACTCTACATCTTTTAGTCTCAAAACTATCTATGTGATGTGGTCTTTCTCTTATGTATTGCATCTGTAGCATCTCATTTCAATGACCAGCAGTAATCAGCCATCATGCTGATTTTTCACCTTCCCTGATACCTCCTCTCCATTTCACTGATGTCTTTATGAAACCTTTCCCCTTGTTCTTCGCTGACAGCACCAAGATTTTCAGGGAAATATTCAATATGTGAGTGTAAAAATGAACTTTCATGCTCATATTACAACCCAACTTTTTGAATTTATCGAGCATGTTATTGACGATATTTTCATAATTTGGGTACTTCTTGTTTCCTAAACATTTGTCAATAACATCTTTGAAGGCAATCCACACTTCTTTTCCAACTTTTCTCATTGTCCTTTCGATCTGTTCATCTGAAGTCAATTTCATAATCTGAGGCCTAACAAAAGTATCTTATTTAAGTTTCACTTCTGAAAGAACTGGAAATTGCCCACATAGATACATGAAACAGATGCCATCTTTGTCTAAGGCCTTTACAAACTGCTTCATCAAGCCCAGTTTTATAGGTAATAGGACTTTCTTTGTGTCAACCAAACTTTCACGTTCAATGTTTTTTGATCCTGGTATCAGGCTGACTCTATGTGGCCATTGCTTCTTTATCCAGTGCTGATTCCATGCTCTGCTGTCCCATTCACACAAAAAACATGGAAACTTTGTATAACCGGACTGTTGACTCGACAACATACAAAGGACTTTTAAGTCTCCCCAAAGTAGCCAACCGTATTCTTTGTATTTGACCTCATTAAGAAGAAGTTTGAGATTTTCGTATGTTTCTTTCAAATGATCTGATTGAGCAATAGGAACAGATGCATACATGTTACCATTGTGAAGAAGAACACCTTTTAGACTTCTTTTGCAGGAATCAATGAACAATCGCCACCCACTTCGTTCATAGACTGCATAGGATTTTACATTTGTAATATGTGACTGTATGATGCCTATAGGACAACAGCCATGCTCCAGAAACATAATTTAACCATGTGAAATGTAAGTGTATGGTAACAATACAACAACAGCCATGCCTAAAGTATAAGATTGAACATACAATATGTGAAATGAACATTTTTCTTCCTGAAGCGAATGGCAACATGCACCACACCATAGGAATACTTAGTGTATTCTGCAACTGCTTTAATCCAAAACAAAAATGATAAATTTTTTATCTAGTCTAGTTTACTTCAAGTGATAGATAAAGTTTGTTAATAAAGATATTTAGCCAGAACTAGTATTTGTAAATGTAGTATATTTTGTACATTATAAAACATCACAACCACATTGAGCTGAGAGAAACTTTGAGCTAGGTGACTGTTGAACTTAAGAGCAAGAATTTAATACACAATTACGTTTCAAAAGTTTACTTTATATATCTGAGTATAAACTTTACACACATACAAAAAAAAGGATCAACATAATACTTTACCATGAAAATAGTCAGCTAGGTCACCTCCATTGCAAAACTGTAAAAGCAAAAAATTGAGAGGGTCTTCAAACACACAAGCAATAAAACAGAAGGAAGCAATAAGTTAAAACATTACACTTACCACAAAACATACAAAAAACGTGTTTTAAGACCTACTTTGTAATTAGTTACCCATTTTTAATAAACAAATTATCCAAGAAACAGTTACAAATCATCATTGTAAAACTGTAAAAATATTACCCTAGTGAGAGTATATACTTTTAAATGTAATTATTGTCAACAAGAGATTAGAAAAATAAAAGTAAATTCTAAAACATTTACAGAGTACAGTTTAGTGAATTAAAACAAATACTCTACAACTATCTTTAAACTTTTGAATACTATACATGTAGTTATGCACATTCAAGACATGAATTTCTTTACAAATATGTTTTAAGTTCCATACATGAAGTGTAAAGAGAAAAAAACTGATTTAGCACACAGAAACTGCCTATCACAGGCTTAAAAAAAATTGGAATTTAGAGAAATTAAATGATCGTGCTAAGTATAATTATGAATTCTGTTACAGTGCCTTTTTTAACTTAAGATTTAACAGGCAGGTTTATAGCAACAATAGAAAAAGTGTAACAATAAATTTTTCCTTTTGCCCACCATTAAGAATACATAATCAGTTTAAAGCTATAAAAAGGCACATCAAATATTCATAATGGCATTAATATATCATGCTACCATATACATATTAAACATAAACTCACCAATGAAACAAAAAACATTTTATAAAAGTATGAAAATATTTCAATACAGAAACATCAAATATCCACTGCACTAAAAAATTGGAAGACTCAAGAAAGAAATGACACTTCTTATTTTGGTATTGTTCAAAAGAAAAATACAATATAAAGAAAGTACTTTTAACCACATCAAATATGCATTAGTTTAGAACAAGAGTGAACAGATAGAAACAATTTTGAGAAGTGATGACCATTAACTCTATAGCCAGAAAACTATGATCAAAATCTGGTCATTAACCTTCAAATCACTACCTTGTTTTTATATAGTTCATTACCAATGCATCATATTGACTAATTTTATGCCCATTGTAAAAAAGAACCGATCCAAAATAATAATAAATTTTCTATATAACATACACAAGGGACACCAGCAGTAATTAGGGGGATTAAATGCAATACTGATAGTAATTTTTTTGAAATATTTTTGTGTAACAGCTCATAAGTTGCAAGAAGTTAAGAATTACTTTTAATAATTAACAAAAAATAATTAACAGCTACATTCAACACGTGTAACAGATCAATAGCACACTTGTGTGTACATGTAACCTTTTCATGGTGATTGTTTAACCCTATTACCATGGGTACCCTTTACTGCACATGACACAAGGTTTTAGTGTATCACATTCAAAATTTTATTCAACTATTTTTTGTTTATATTATACAAATTAGAATATCATAAAATCTTAGCTAATAATCCATATTTTCATAGTATACAAGTTTTAAGTGTTTAATTCTACAAAACATTAAAAAAAATCCCAAATTTCCACTAGTATGACCCACGTGACACATTTTCTCTTAGCATGTCATCCTCCCTATTTTATTCACCACCCCTCGAAAAAGTACAAAATTAAACATAAATTACTTTCTATAAAATCACTATTGCTAGGCATACCATAATTTTTATAACCTTCAAATTTGTTTGATTACAGAGCTATCAAATACTAAATCAGACCCCTCCTGCCACACCCATTTGTCACATCCTCTCTTTCAGGATTTGTTAATAGTTCTCTCTTACGTTTCATTATATATTACCTATAATCAATAGAAAATCAAGGTTTTCATCTATCAAATGACATATTGTATAATGTTATGTTCTGAACATTTAGATGTCAATTTCACTCAGAGTACCAACATCTTTCCTGTGGGAAACTTAATGACTAGCTTCAATGAATTTGTAACGGTTCCTGTCATTATAGTTAGAAGGCCAGGAAAATTTTGAGAGGTAAGTTAATTTGTCTACTTTTTGCATGTTATTAGTCTATATTCTTTGGTGCATTATTTAATTAAATAAAAATTATTAACTGCATTACTATAATAACTAAAAGAAATCAGGCTTAACTGTCCTTGACAGTCGAGGGCAAGAAAAAAGAAGATTGGGT